CTCTTAAAGTGTCAGCTGATGCCTTGTGGTCATAGCTTGGAAAGGATTGACATCAAAATATAAAATGTCAATCGACAGAAAACAAAAACACAGGCAATGTGAGGCAGAGAAAGGTGAGGAGTTCAAAACAGCCTCACTGAGCCAGATAAGTCATCCTGTTTGCAGTCTAACACAAAATATGGGTTTTATTTCATTTGTTTTAAAGAAAGAAAAAGCATTTAGAAAAGATCAGAAATGCTCCCTTTAACCAGCTGAAGGTGTGTGTGTGTGTCAGTGTTTGATTGACAGCTTAATAAACATGCGTTGTAGCTCACGTGTAATGAGTAGACAGCATGTTAGTGGTCTGAAAGAGTAAAGGCCACATCAACATCTACAGTCTTATTTCAAAATACATTTACATTATGTGCTGCAAATGATAAGCTAACTAGTTAACCATCCACTCGCCTGCTGTGCCCTTCATTTGGGTTCTACATAGTGAAAGGGCTACACCTTAAGCACTGTTCATCTGCTTAAGTCTTAAAACACCTCCAGATTAAAGCTGAGAGTCAGGAAGACCTCACAGTCATTTTAAATCCATGTGCTTCAGTGGAGAGACAACAAATAATGTGTCACTGTGCAAATAGACTGCACTTTCCATTGGTACCTTAAGCCAAGCTATAATACCACTTTTATTAAATTTCAGTCACAGAGGAAAAGGAGAACGAGATATTACATTAGATGTCATACAGATCCTTGATGGAAACGACTATTAACTAATGTGGCCTATGCGAGTAGAGTTGTTTCACAAACTCTTTTAATTAAGTTTCGATAGGAGATTTTTCCTGAGCTCTAGTGATATTACCTTTTGCGTCCAAAAATTGAAAAAGTAAACCCTTGCTTTCTCTTGCTCTATGCATCATCCATCTGTGAATGTTTTCTCGGTAGTTATTCTGTGATGAGATATTGTTTACTTTTTCTGGCGTGTCGACTTCCCCAACCTCCCTTAACTGCTTCTTCAGTTGCTGATTTCCTACCATTTCCAAGAATGCCTCGTGGCAACTTCCAGAGAACAGATGCTGACTTTTCCCATCGAAACAAAGCTGTATAATGCGTCAAGCTGCGTGCCCTTCGCTCACAATGCAACATGTTTTGTTATTCTGATATAATAAGTCTAATGGGGATATCAAAACATTAGATATTCTCCTTGTATATCATTCATTTCTCAGTTCTTGATCTTTCATTTAAAAAAAAAAAAAAGGAAAATAGTCTCTGACATTAGCTGCAGATGCTTGATAGCAGATATTGAATGTAGGATGTTCTGGAAATATCTTAATGTCATCAAAATAACAATTTACGGCAACACTGTATGTATTTGATTGGCTGTTTAGGGTGGAATTTCCCTTAAAAAGTTTTGCAATGTTGTTTGTTATTGGGTATAAAACTGAGATACACAGAAATCGAAAGGTCACATGTTAGAAAGCAGACGGCAGTGATTTTATTTTTCACTCATAGTATTACAATAGACTTCTCTACTCATGAAAATGGATAATACACTGTCAGTCTTGCACTTCAAACAAATACTCAGGTCAATACAGCAGCACTTAGTATTTGCAAGTTCTTAAAGTTATGTTTTTAGAGTGACACACCCCACGTGTCTACCAGCTATGAGCAGTCTAAAGACAGCCCTCAGCAGACCCTTTTCTCGGAAAGCACACATGTACCCGCAGTGTTTGAACAGCTTCAGTAAATCCATGCGTTTCCACCACCTTCATTATCATCATAATAAAAGTGTCTGAAAAGCAAAGTTACAGAAGAATGTAGACACCTCACTTTCTGCTTTGTACTATCATCAATCACCATGGAGCGTTTTTTTTCTCTCCCTCAACATTGGTTGAAGACATCGAGAAAAAGGAAAAAAAGACATGCATATTTAATTTCATTCTCCACTGGCTCAAACAAAGAAAACTGCCACCCTTCAGGACACCTTTCGGAAAAGTCTCTATTAAATCTGAGTCAGCTAGGGGGAAAAAGAAACATTTCATAAGTGAAAAACTTTATCTAAATTGTTGCCAGACTTCAAATGAAGTGCTGTTTATCTTCCCCGGCCGCCAATGTGTTGTTTTACTCCTTAGTCACCGCCTGGATGGCAATCAGGATCGGTCAACCAGCACGCTATCAGCAGCAGTCACTCTGCAATGACAAACTACAGCACTACACTCCAAGCATGGGCATTATTCTCTACACACGACTCACCCCTATCAGAAAACAAGGCAGGTTTTATGGCTGCTGGAAAAGGTGGTAAACATAACAAAGCGCACAGCTCCCTGGAATTTAATGTGCTCGGGAAAAAGACAGAGTAGAGATATCAAAGGCCAGACCTTCTTGGAAGAAAAAAAAAAGAAGTGTTTCCTCATAATGTCTAAAACAGAAGCACTGGCCATACAACACGTGATTTATAGTGTTGTTTGCTTTCTCTCTGAACCTGGAGCATCCAGTGGGCATTGTGGATGCAACAGGGGGGGGGGGGGGGGTTCATTTATACCATGCCACTGAGAGCACATGAGCAGGTGCATAAACAAGTTCACAAGAAGGAAACAAGATGAAACTGATACAGCGTGATACTGATTATGGAGTTTTTTTATGCGTAAATTAAAAGACCACCAAAGGACTGTTTCTCTGAGATCCAATTGAGGCTGTACAGTCACAAGGCGCGCTGAAGTAGACGGCTACTCTGGTTACCTCAGTGATCTAATTATCACATGAGCTGTTATCACATACTTTCCATAACAAATGTCCCGAGCCACATGCACAAGCTCAAATTGTGCCCGCGTCTCTCCCATCCTTGTGTGGCTAATCCGTCACCTAGCCAGAGAGAGCAACACACATGCAATTGATTTCCTCCTGGTTTACATATTTACACACACACTCATGCAATTAGGAGCGCATTTATCGATGGTTTGGGCACCGCTGGGAGCCCTACAGTGCAGCCCACTCCAATAAATCTCCCAGTCCTGAGGCTGCCAGCGGGCAAGATTGATGAACCTCAAACAAAAATGGACTGGGAATACTTTGAGCTGCAGGGTAAGAGTTCTCAATCACTAATATTGACCCCTTTGCATTCATACTGCTTGATTAAAACAGTTTATTTATAATGAAACATTTTAATATATCATCTGTAAGTCTCTAAATATGGCAGTGATAAGAAAGTGGGGATGCATAAATAAAACACAATTTAAGTCAAGTTGTTTTGTTTAATCAGAGTGATGATCAAATGGACATTTTGACACAAAGTTTGCAAAGTGCATCTACATTGTGATCTATGTGTCTGACTCTCCTGCTCGGAGCAGCTTGGCTTCATCATCTGGGTATCATATTATATGTGTGCCATGCTGCCCCCAACAGGCTCTCTGCAAAATGCATCAGTTGTCTGTTGAATCCCACAGCATCCAGCTCCAACTGAAGCCACACTTCCCACAACAACTTCACCTCACACACTGCTTCCTCCGGGGCGAAGCAGTATTTTAAATCAAACACACATTCAGATAGGGGGCCATATTTTTGCAACAGGTTTTTAATGGAACTCTGATTGTATTGGCAGTATGGATCACCCTCAGACTGGGCATTCATTGTCTTTATTGATTGGCATGAATAAAGGCTAATGTGCCTTTTTCCACATAGATAATGCCATTGTAAAGACAGAATAAATGTCCCTTTAGGGGCTAAATTAGAATGTCTAGTCCCCTTGAGCCATCTATGGCTATTACAATGACTGTGAAAGTCTGCTCTATAATTTCACTAATTTAGTCAAATCCCTATCTGCTGCTAATGAACTTTTCTTTCTCCACAAAGCTTTGAATAGACTTATTCCAAATGAAGGTGCCTTTGTATGAATATCATTCATTCAGAGTAGGAGTGCAGTGTTTGTGTCTGAAGCGTGCAGCAACAATCAGTCATTCAGTGAAAGAACAAATTCATCACATTTGCAGTGAAACTCCAGAGAAATGTTACAAAGCAAACACTTTTCAGAGAATTACAAAAGCTGTATTCTCAGAGTGCAAGGTCAGTTCAATTAAAAGTGTACTTGTATACAAGTTAATTTAATTAAAATAGCTTTTTCAATGGAGACAGCAAACAGAGAGCTCTACAAAATATGAACTATATATGCATGTACTGCAATGCAAGGCAGTTATAATAAAAGGGAAAAACAATAAAGAGAGGAAGAAATGTCGTATATAAATAACAGTATGGAGATATGGCATTATGCATAGAAGTACAACTCTTTCAGCACCTAACCAACCAAATTAGCTATAATTCAAATTGAGCATTTAAGGTAGGGAACTTCAATTTGAAGTGACTAACATATATCACTATGGTCAAAGGCCGGGACATTATAAATTAAGTTCACTGGCAGTTCACGGGGAAAACAATGAGAGGAAATCTCAGTGTGGCTTATCGCCTCGCCGTATGCAACCAACAGCGGGCCAGCGGCCAGTGAGTCCCTCGAGGTTAATCACATTAGAAAGCAACTTATCAAGATAAAGTTAGACACAACAGAAACAAATACACTCATTTAAACATGTGCCCAAGTCAGCCGTGACAAGCGGCGGGGTTGATCCGGTGGAGGAACGCACCTGCTGGTTGCGCACGGCGGCACAAAAGGTGACAACAAACATTTCATGAGTGACAATGAAGCAGAGGCAAAATGTGGCAAATGTGAGTGGAACTAATGTTATTATAAGCTGACTTATTGCCACCTCCATATAACTTAAGTTACTTGCACGCTGACATATGCTCGAATTTACGCCACATACATTTGTTAAAACGAATTGTGACCACAAACATTAGGAAAAGCGATCTGAAATGCAAAATATCAGTTGTAAACTTAACATTTTGAGTAAAATATTAGACGAACTAGTAGAAAAACTGAGTTTAAGTCCTTTTCCCCTCAATTTCGTCTCTCGTTTTCGGCATAAATCCGGACTGCGCAGTACGTGCAAACATTTCCAGGTAATTCTCCTTACCTTTAAAAACTTCCCCTTGCGCGGACAACAGCAGGGTTATTGCAGCAAACAAGCAATTGATAACTTTATCCATGTCGACACAGCCGTGGTAGCGTTAACCCCCAGCCGCGGGGTTAACTGGTAACTCTTCTGTCTTTTAACGCAACTTGAATCCTATACACTTTTGAGGAGGGTTCAATCTAAAGTGTCTTCTCCCTCTCCTCCGTCCCTGGGCTTGCTGTCGGGCTGTGAGGGGACTCTGTCGCCGAACACGGCTGCTCCTTGCCGGCTTGCTCCACACTTGGAGGAGGAATGTGTGAGTGAGTCCTGATTCCGGAATTACGCGTGGATTGAGTGGTGGTCCGGCAGCTCCAGAGCAGCGGCTGTGCGCGCGCTGTGTGGCCGGTAGAGGGCGCGTATGACAGGCGGAGGCGTCTCCCGCACCTGACCGTCCTTCTATTGGCGTTTATTGGGACCAGCTGTGGAGACTGGAGCTGAGAGAAGTAGTGCAGTTAACCCGGGCCAGGTAAGAACCTGACATCATTAATTTAAAGTAGTGATACAAAGTTAATACTCAGAGATCAATCCGCCAAAAAACCGAGAGAAGAAGAAGAAGAATACTCAGAGATACTACAAATGATCTCCTGACAGATAGTAAGTAATATCTTATATTAACAACACTAAAAGGTTGTTTTAATGTTTATATTGCCCTTTAACATTGTGTTTTGCTGACATTTGCTCTACTTCCTCATTGTCTTGGGTTCTTAACCCCACTGTTGTATGTGTAAACATAATCATAATTGCCAATGCTGGTATTTCAACTACTAATTTCTGTGATTATACATATTTTATGAGGATCTTATTAAAGCTCTTCTCTTTGCCACAACTTGAATGTGAACATTAGCAAAGGGTGACTTCGACCTAAGAGCTCTAAATCCCTGTTATGACTTAAACCCCATTATTAAAAAAACTAATAGACATATTTCGATTTTGGGATTAGCACTGTAGTGCTTTTAAATATACCTTATGGTGAGATTATTCTTCAACTGCTGTCTCCAAGGTAAAACAAACACAAGCTTTAAATCTCATCTTTAAAACCCACCTGGAAAATAATTGCTTTTAAAGGGCTTAGAGAAAATTAAAATGAACAATCCCATAATATTTAAGCGTACTGCATCTGCTGATGTTGATCATGTGATGTGAACATCCAGAAAAGGCCAATGGACCTTGTGGTGAAATTGTTTGGTCAACCAAATTGGACATTTTAAGACATTCCTCCTATATCTAATATGACCTGTCATTGACTATACTGAAACAATGGCCTTTTTTCTTGGATAATCACAAGTACATTTCTTAACAACGTCCACTGGAAGGTGATTTTATTAATTACAATACTGAATACGCTATATAAGCCTTTTTCATGCTCAACTAGGCACCATATTTTAATAAATTCATATTTCCTTAAAGTCATTGCCTGCTGTTTTCTTAATCACAGTTCACCTTGTTCGTCCTCTCTGATCAGATTCAAGCATTGATCATATTAAAGGCAAACCCAGACTGACCTTCAAGAGGACTTCATTAGATGACCTGGCAAGACAAAGCCACGTCATCACACACACATGTTTCTTTCAGCCTCAATGAATTAATTATGATGCCTTACTTAAATATATACAAATATTTGTCCAGAATTAGTCTTATCTGAGACGACAAGTGCAAACAACCTCAGTATATTCTCATAGCAATATCAAACAAAGAGATGGAGAAGCAACTAATGACAAAGTCAAACAATGTCATTCCCTTATTGTTTTTGCATGCATAAACACACATGGCGATTTCACTTGTACAGCAGTTTTCACGGCTAATTAAAATGCAGCCAGATTGACACGGGTCTACATTTAGTCTGAAAATGACCTCGCGTTGTCAAGGATATACGGATCCAGTTGTTGTTTTCCTTCATACAACAATGGCTGTAGCATTTCATAGAAGAGTCACATGTGTTTTTGTGGTCTTAAGGTATTGTCTTGGCTGTTGCCAGGAATGCATGAATACCAGCCTGAGCAGAGCTGTCATGGGACTTGACGAGAATGTTAACTCCTCCAATTGGATGGAAGAATGAATGGATAGCATCATTGTCTGCCCTGGTGAATGCAGAGAGAGAGACAGCAAGTGTGTTTGTGAGTGTGTGATTGAGGGCTGGTTCATGAAGACATGCTCAACAAATGTATAACAATATCCCACTCCAGTGTTTTCAAATCTACTCTCACAGAAATATCAGATGAACTCAAGTAGCCTTCTCCTCAATCAATACCATCCTCCTTGTACCAAATGTGTTTGATTGTAGTTATTTTAAACTGTATTTGACATTAAGGTAGACATCGTTACTGCAGTTTTTTTATATTATTTAACTGTCAGTTTGGTCACATTTGAATTTGTAGGGCTATTCCTGACCTATATAAAATCTGATTATATGCCATGTATCCAATGCATTTAGTTAACAATTATAATTGTATTTTAACCATTCATCCATAACTATAAGCTAACAATGTTGACCAACTGGGCCTATCTGTTACTTTTAATGCAAACTATTTAGACAAATTATCACTTGATAATTGTTTACTTATTTTAACCATGTATCCATTACTTTTAGCCACCTAGTTATACCAATTATCTATTACTTTAAGATAATATTTGTTTACCTTTTTACCTACTACTTGGCTAACCATTTTGGATTTGTCTATAGCTTGTTTTCAAGCACTTTTATCCCATCATTGAGTTTTTAGGTGTTACAGACAACTCAATATATAATAAACCATTATTTGTATTTTTGCCATATTAATTGAGCTTCAGAAGCACTCTACCCTTGTCTAGGAATCGCTGTATGTGATAGCAAAATCAAGCCTATCGAGCAGGTTGTTGTTGATTTTTTTTACCCGGTAACCTTTCACAAGCTTACTTTCATCACAATCTCAAAGCAAGACACTGAAACGCTCTGACATTACTCTGATTGGATGAGAGGAAGTGCCTCTAAAAGTGATGCTAGGATCAAAAGACTCCATAGGACTCAAAGGTTATGACAGTGGCCTATACTGTTTCAGTGACTCACTGTTGTTGATTTCTAAACAACATCCTGAACTTTTGAATAGCTGATATTGACATTTCATCGTGGAGAGCCGCCACCAACCAAGGAAGAACCTGTTGGCCTTTAGCAAATCCTTTCTCGCTCATATCACTCCCTGCAGGAACAGTTTGAATCAGTTAAACTTAGGAATGATGAGCTTAATAACACTTTGTTGTAATTGACATAAGTGGTAGTATAATGCTGTTTGTCAATAAATGCCAATCACATCACCCAACGTGAGGAGTCTCAGTGTGACTGAATAAATCACAGACTTGCACTCCAAAGAAAGTCTTATTAAGCCTCTCCTCATGTGGCTGCCAAACAGCAGAGATGTTAACATTTAATTCCATTGTGATTATCCCTTGCCTTGATTGTCAAAAGCTCAATACGAGATTGATTAGCTGTCCTTCATTATGGGAAGTCATGAAGCTGCCGCTGGTGCCAAACTGTTTTCCAAGCTCGGGCTTATGAATGCAAAATACCTTTTGAATGAAGAACACGGGTGCCAATCTGTGCTCACCCAGTTGTTATATCTTGCACAGTGTCTCATTATAAAGCAAAGTTATTGGAGCATGCAGCAATTAAATAGGATCAGCAAATGCTACAAAGTCTGCTAACTGCAGTCATGTGTGATCCCTGGTGTACAGCTGACCACTAGTGGGTGAGGACCGTTCAGTGGAATAAGGGGATTTCCAGACTGCAAAGATTCCCTTTAATTAATTGGGAGAGTGGTTAAAGTGTGTTTTACTTCAGTGGAGGTCACTGTTTGGAAGTCAATAGTGGAACCTTGACTGTACTTTGGTTATTAAATCAAATAAATAAACATTTAATTAAGGGTCAGCAACCTTTACTATCTAAAGATGTAAAAATGCAGCCTGCTTGTTTTGGGGATACTTTTTTTTGTATGCTAATTTCTCACCACAGTTAAAGCATATATGGGTATGCAATTCTCACACATTCTCCATATAACTTTCCTACCTCTGGTCTAGATAGTTGCTGATGGAATATGTGTTTGTATACTGTAAATATAATGGTCACCTGTCAAAAGAAGACAAATCTTTGTGTATTGTTTATCACCAAAATAGTAACAGCACTGAACCTGAATTCAGGCCAAACTGACTCACATTGATGCAATACCTTTTTAAGAGCTTTATTTGACAACATGTCCCAGGATCACTATCTGGGACAAAGAGTGGTGTGTGTGGTGTGTGTGTGTTGTGTGTGTGTGTGTGTTGTGTGTGTGTGTGTGTGTGGTGTGTGTGTGTGTGTGTGTGTGTGTGTGTGTGTGTGTGTGTGTGTGTGTGTGTGTGTGTGTGTGTGTGTGTGTGTGTGTGTGTGTGGTGTGTGTGTGTGTGTGTGTGTGTGTTGTGATGTGTGTGTGTGTGTGTGTGTGTGTGTGTGTGTGTGTGTGTTGTGTGGTGTGTGTGTGTGTGTGTGTGTGTGTGTGTGTGTGTGTGTGTGTGTGTGTGTGTGTGTTGGTGTGTGTGTGGTGTGTGTGTGTGTGTGTGTGTGTTGTGGGTGTTGTGTGTGTGTGTGTGTGTGTGTGTGTTGTGTGTGTGGTGTGTGTGTGTGTGTGTGTGTGTGTGTGTGTGTGTGTGTGTGTGTGTGTGTGTGTGTGTGTGTGTGTGTGTGTGTGTGTGTGGCGCTACATACCAACAGAGGTCTCTTTTCTAGAAGACTTTTCATCTTAATTGTAAGTGGTTAAAAATATTCATGACCTTTTTAAATGTGGTGACATTTTAAGTATTTTAGCAGATTGACACACTACTGCTACATCTTACTATCAGCAACCTTGTGGTATAATATAAGAAATAGGTGTACAGATACAATAACATTGTCATCACAACGTAAAAATGCACTACTGAAGTTTGACTACAAGCACCTTAATGTTAGTTGAAGTGTAAAATGCTGTGCAATAAAGCACTTAACACCGATTATCACAGTAAAAAAGAATAAGCTGATATCTATATATATAACAGTATGGAAAGTGTGTTTAAAATTGGAATTAATCAACCTTTTGTGCAATCCAATTAACGTTATCTTACTGTTGACGCTGAACATCATAAAACCCAAATATAATTTGGAAAACATCATTTTAAAATATTATAAACTATTAGTCCTTGATTCCATTAAAAGTCGCGTAACGATATCAAGTTATAGTCCGGTATCCTATCCACTCACTATGCTAGTGAATGAAATTTTTTCACAATACTTCCTTTGCTTTACAGTATGTATGATTGTTGCCGTGCTACAGTAAATGCATATCCAAATTGGCAATAGCTGCAGATATGTAACAAAATAATCCAAATGTTGATTTACAACCCCTCTGAGCTTTAATAGTGTTTATATTTGCTTCAAGTTATTTGAATTTAATTTAAATTGTTCCACAGTAGTCCACATTTTGGAGGACACACTTTTCAATCATATCACTGTAAGTTTGTTTTCCATCGTTTGAAATCGTTTGTGTGACAACACGCGACAAACCTCAGAGGAGCTGAACCCAGCAGGCAGCTCTGATCTGATGGAGTGGAACAACATTTAATCAGAGTTTAAGTCCCTGTTGTGTTTTGTTTTATTATGTTGAAGATCTTAAGCCCCCCTCACCCGTTCTTTCCACTGACTTTCCACACCTGATCCCCATGACCTGAATCCAACAAAGAGTGTGGTGATGTGTTGCTGAGCGCACCCCCGTGCAACAGGCCAAACTATTTCAACTGCCTGGTAATCATCTCCCAAATGTAGACTTGTGAATTTTTACGTGAGCTGAGAGACTTATCCTGACCGCTTTGCTGTGGATTAACAAAGGTTTAGACATGACACAGCAGTTAGTAGTTGTTTTATTATTCAATGCAGTTTTGACATTACATAAAAAACAGGAAATAATATTACTACTGGTCTTAGGTGATCATTATATAATCAGTTTGTGGCAAGAGCAAGGACTCACAGCATGACTAGCATGTGCCAGGGGTCAGGTCTGTGCCAACATCACATTATGACTCTTTTAGATGCACACACACACACACACACACACACACACACACACACACACACACACACACACACACACACACACACACACACACACACACACACACACACACACACACACACACACACACACACACACACACACACTAGTCCCTCACGTGGGCTTGAGGTAGTTATAGAGGGCACTGAGACCTCCTTGCAGCACCTCCTTGATAGGCTTGAGGAGGGGGTTGTGGATAATATGAAGTCCTTTATCCATCGGGTGGCAGGCCAACCTCCCGAGTCTGCTGAGTAGGTACAATTCCACTGGCACATTTTGCAGGTCGTTGAAGTCAACATTGAGGAGTTCTAAAGACTCCAGGAAGCACAGCGTCTTGGGCAGTGAGTGGATACTGTTTCCCTCCACGATGAGGATCTTCAGATTAACTAAGTCCTGGATCTGGTCGGCGATGGTCTCCAGACGGTTGCAAGCCAGTTGAAGAAAGACCAGACCCTTCATGCTGTAGACGCAGGTGGGGATGTGAACGATGCGGTTGTGGCTGAGGTTGAGTTTGGTCAGATTGTGCATGGCGCCCAGGCTGTTGGGGAGGCCTGTGATCTGGTTGTTGGCCAGGCTGAGCACCTCCAGGCGGGTGCAGCGCCCCAGCTCTTCGGGGACTTCGCTCAGGCGGTTTCGACAGGCGAAGAGCACGCGCAGCTTCTTCAGGAGGCTGATCTCCACTGGTAGACTTGAAAGGTTGTTCCCCCACAAGTTGAGGATCACAAGATTGTCCAGAGCTCCCAGGGCAGGGGGCAGGGAGCTCAGGCAGTTCATGGACAAGTTTAGCTTCTGCACTTCCCGGAGCTCCCACAGTTCAGAGGGGGTCTCGACAAGCGCCCGCATGGCCAGGCTGAGGGTGTTGTAGCCAAAGTGAACCGTGGTGTGTTTGCGGAACCTCTCTGCAGCGGAGGACAGGCTGGGCTGGCCGTCTCTAGAAGAACTTTTGCTTCGTTGACGAACACTCCCCTCATTCAGCTCCTTGCTGGAGAAGCCGCGAGATTGCTTCCCACCCATCGTCCTCACGGTTGATTCTATCGCCTATTCCAAGATGTCAGCATCCAATTAGCTGAATCACCACCAATGATAGGATTGGTAAGGGTAACGGTTGTTGATTTCAGGGTTCCTAAGCGAGGAACGCAGAACATGATCGGCGTTAAGGTTTGTTGTAGAACTCCTGATGTTTGGCAGCAGCTACACTGAATCCTCGCTAAGTTGAGTTGCAGGCAGCTGTAACGGAGCACTATGGGGCTCGTGGTCTGTGTCTCCCAGACCTACTGCCTGTCTTACTGGATTTCAGACACCAGCTGGTCCTGTCACTTCACATGGCCACAGATAGCACCCTTCTCCCCACCCACTATCGGAGGGCAGAGCTGGGGATTGGACGCTGGGTGAGCTCAATCAGATGAGGTCACTGCCATGATCTCATAACATAACACACCGAAATACACCGGCACACGTGGCACACATTATTCTGCTGGCTCGCCTGCTCTCTTCTCTGAGTGTATTACATTTTCACTTAAAATAGTTTAGATCTTTAACATACCATCTCTGGCTGACCATAATCTCTTCTCACTTTTATTTTTCTCCTGTCGGCCCCCTGCGCCTTTCTGCATGATCTCTCTTCTCCGATGAAATATGGCACCAAGCCGACAGCCGTGAAAACACTGAATCATCTCTCAAAAAAGTAACGGTTCTTAAAGGTATTAGTGGAAACGTATGCACAGACATGCGCTGGTTTAATCTCAAGTGCAAAAGGACATGGAACATTCCACTGCGTTCCTAGAAAGCTCTACTGCTATTCAAAACTCATTCATGTGGCCCCAAGGGAACAATCTCTCTTTATGTAAAAGCAGACACTGTAGTGCATTTACATTTTTGAACTTGTCTTTCCCCGCAGCAAGTTACACACTGACAGTTCTTGAGTTTTGTAAGTATCTTTGTACAATTTACTGAAAGTTATTTGTTCCACCTACTATTATAATTTGTCAGTATTTATTTCATATCTTCTGAATACTGTCTGCCTAATCAGCTCACAGCTGTAGGGGGGTGGAGATATCCCATCATGCATCTGTGGAGACGCAGGGATACTTAATGTTTCACAATGTTTCAACTAAAATACGAAAGGCAAAATAGCTTTATTTTGATTACTAAGTTACGAAAATTATAAAAAACATAGATTTTAAGACTCAATCTAGGAAATTAACGAAGTCTTGTACAGGGGCTGAAAATAAAATACCAAAACAATGTAAAGTAAAAGATTATAGATTGTATTTTAGGTAAATCTACTGAATATTTCCATTTCCATTGTGCTTTTACTTCTCAACAATTCAGAACAAGTAATTGAGAATTTTTGCAATAAAATGTCTAAAGTTTTCGAAACCTTTCAATATCCATCCAAACTCCATGTTATGCTGCCCTAGCCAAGCACTCGGGTGCTTCCTGCTGTGATGCAACAGTGCTCAACACTTATTCAAGTCAAGTATTTTCAGTGCTGAATCATAACTTTATTCCATAGGATCTTAAATGAGAACCTTACAGGATCAACTCAGACAAATAAAAGACTCCAAAGCTCTTTCCAACAGGGAAGAAACCATGATAAACTCCAGAAGGAGCAACAGAAGAGAACGCTCTTAAGGACAGACAGACATTCAATACATGTTTACAGTGCAGTGCACAGCATGAACAGACCAGCATGTACACTGAGCTGCTGTGTCAAACATACTGCATATTTTTACGTCTAAATATTGTTCACCTTAAGACTTAACTTCAGCTGTGTTTACATGATAGTCCTGTCTTATTAAGGTTATGTCTTTTTCTTAAAGGGGACCTATCATGCAAAATGCACTTTTGTACGTCTTTTATACATGAATATGTGTCCCCGGTGTTCCAGGGAACTCACCAAGTGTCAGAAAACACAACCCTCTCTATTTTCCTCCATACCCAAATCTCTAAAAAAGGGGCTGCAACGGATCTGATAAAAACTGATCCAGATTTGAACACTGTCCTGACTTCAGGACAATGGCGCTACGGCTATTGGGCCAACTCCACCAATCAGGAGGAGACAGCCACGGCCATTGCCGTTCGAAAGCCCTGGAGACGCTGTAGTACATATGCCAGACCTGTAGATGGTGCTGTTCTCACAGAATCTGCCCTTGCAAAAACAGAGCTAAAAAATTTCAAATTGAGCAAAATGAGGCATGGCTAAAATGCATGATCTGTTTGGTATTTTGAAAAAAAAAAAGTATAAATATGCCTTATATAGGTATTGTCCTACACTATATTATTCAAATATAGCATGATAGGTCCACTTTAAGTTTCTGAATATGATGGGCCCTTTTAACTGCACTTGGATGTATCTCTCTATCTCTATATCTCTATATATCTATTGATATAGATACAAGCACTTAACATGACCTTGTATTTAATTACAACAACATTACAGTGAATTCTAATCAATGTATTAAATGTGTATACTAGTGCTTATGCTGAAAAGAGAAACGTATTGTTCTCTAATCATGTAAAACCTTTAATAATGTAGTATTTGTGTCACATAAAGACAGAAATCGACTCTTGTATCTTAGAATAAACACAATTATTTTTCGGATATGTATTGTTTCATGCCAACAATCATTTTCCAGAAGGTGTCACTCGTGTATTTAACAAGCTTTTAGCAACAGGAGAGGTGTACATTCATGAGCCATAAACACTTTATATAAACGTTCGGGTGTAAATGGGACCTTGGACTTGATCCACTTTTCTCGACAGCCTCGCAGAGTCTGACCAGGACTTAGAGTGGCCTTAGTCATCATTCTTCTCCCAGTGCAGTAATCAAAGTACTTGGATGACAGTTAGCAGTGATATCCAACTCTGGGGACTCAGTGGCTCTGCTGTGAGCGCGGCTACATCAGCACTTATGACTGACAGGTTGAATCATGGGCTTGCTGAATTGGACACTGGAGATAGGGCTGTTTGGGGTGTATTGCCCATTCAGGCTGCTGCTTGTGCAGCATGTCTCATACGGACACTTTTTAGTAAATGTTAACACCTTCATACCACAGTAACTTTGTTTGGAAAATGCTTTCTGACTGACAAAGTCTGTATGCAACCCTCGCTCTGTGGAGCAGATCTACTGTTCTTGTGTGTATTTGCCACTGCTAATTTCACAAACGGCAGGATTGCTTCATCCTGTCATCCTTTATTTAAATGAAAAATTACACCCCAGCTCTAACAGAGTAGCCCCCCCTCCATTTGCAAACACATCACCGGAGTGGCAACACGAGGCTCAGAACACATGCTGTCAAATATGTAGGAAACCGTACATTGTGATACCTGGAAAAAGCCCAGATGGACAGATGGAGGGAGGGGGTGGGCTGGAAGCTGGATATGGACAGAGCGAATAATGCTAATTTCTGTGACAGAGAGATGTCATCATGACATACTTCTCCATAACACACCGTCGCCTAGCACTTTGTCATAATCCTGTGAGCCATGAATCTTCATTAAATGCTTCTTCTTTATCCCGTGCAAGCTTTCCCCCCAAATGAGCCTTTCTTTCTACCAGAGGAACAGATGTGTGGAAACAGCTTGAGATTTAAATTACAAGAAAATGGGATTTACCATTCATCCCGCATTCACACAACACCTTAATACGGAGTCCCATTAGCACCAAATGAGGATGAGTTATTCACTCTGAGAACAGTTACACCCTCAAGTCCTCAGGGTGACAAAAATGATCTCATTTGAGAAAGCTCATCTGGTTATGTGGCACAATAATGACTCTGGATGAGCTACCTTTAGAGACTCAAGTTCAAGATATATACCATTATTACTTGTTCATTACTGCAGAGGCTTCTGGCGATGACGGATGATATATGGCCCTGCTGCCACAGATTCTGCCGTAGGTGTCTCTCTCCTGAAATGTAAGGAGTACCTGCCAAGACCTGAAGCTCTTTAGAGTCTATATTGCAGACACATTACTCCCTGAAGCCAGCACTCATATTGGAGAATATGTTTCCTCTTTAGACAGAGTGTACAAGACAAGATCAGGTCTAGGAAACAAGAACTATGCATTTTGCAGGCCTACTGAGTATCCCAGACAACATTAGCATCATGAAATGGGAGAGCGCATGTGAATGGGGTTGATGACGAGCCACCAGAGAAGGTAATCGTCTATTATTCAGCAGGTGCAGATGTGAATATTCACACCACTGGACACTTTCCATTTTCCATTTGTGTACACGGACGCATCCACCCCGGCTAATGGAGTCTGTGGAAGCGGCTGTGCTTTTTAGTCAAAAATTGGGGATAAGTCACACATTTCAATTGCCATCTGGAAATTGGATGCAACATTGCTTTGGCCAAACCTCCAGGTGACACAAAGCATCTACTCGGCAATGCAAATTAGTGGGGAGAAAATGTAAGGGAGTGTCCAACAAGTCAGCTTCGAGGCTCAATACAAGCCAAGAACATTTCATTTCAATGTTTCACATGTTCATTTATTCACCAGATTGGACACACTGAGGTTGCCCCTAGCTGGTTGTGCAAATTGTCAACATGGAAATGACTATATTTATCAAGGCGGTTTTAATATATTCAAGCCTATGTTGAAGATGGATTGGTTCTGAAAGAGCACATTCAAAACCATTCTGCATCTTCTTTGAATATTTGTCACCCCCTTATCAACTCTAACTGAAGCACCTCCACTGAGTATCTTGTAATCTTCTAATCTCTTTCCCCAGGCCACACGCCAGGTATCTGTAGTTAGATGTGTAGGGAGGCAGCCAGATTCATCTTGAGATAAACTGGGACAACATGATGAATAGATAATAAAGTCACCCAGGGGAGAGCACTATCCGGGTTAACTCCGCCGAATAAAGATACCATTTGTAATGATGGCTGGAATCAACAGGGAAGAGCAGTGAGCAAAGCTAACTGGGCTCCAAAGTGACCAAATCACTTCCGACTTTGCTGATGCAGCAGATGGGGAGTACAAACCAATTGTGGCTGTGACAACA